AGCATCTGTGTCAGGATCCCAACTAACAAACCCAAGCAAATCAGAACTCTGAGGCTGAGGTCTTCCTCTAAGAACTTCTTTATGGGATCCATCATATTGGCACAATCAAATGGAACTCTAAATGTTTCCCATAATTTCAGTATAACTAGAATAGGAAATAACTCCCTCCCCAAAAGTGACAGATGACATTGGCCAATTAGGTTAATTGGTGGGGTCTCCAGGAACTCCTCCCCACCTCTATCCACCACCTGTAGAGATGACCTTGGTTCCCATGAGAAAGTTCTGTGTTTTATCTAGCAACACATTTCATCCCCCTTCCCCCCCCCCTCCTCTGTTTGGCAACTGAGGAATAGAAAAATGGCTTCTGCCAGGTTCGATTTGAAGTTGGCAATCTATTTATCAGCAACTAGAAAATGCCTTACAATGGGCAAAGGTGCAATGGTTGCCTCTAAAGCATATTTTATTCACTGTCTGTTTTTGGAAGCAGGGAGGAAAGAAACAGAACGGGAGCAAAAGTTAGACTTGCCACAATCAAATAAAGAAGGATGCCTGAAGAATGGCCTCAAGCACAATTGCTTTTTGCTCATTGTATGACCTCCTGGGTATCAACTACTTTAGGAATCAAGATAGGATGGACAGGTTTTTTTTTTTTTTGTCCTATTCTTTGCTTCTCCTCCCACTTTCTCCTAACTTCCCTTTATAACCTTAGCGGCACTGTCGAGCCATCTGTTTTCAAATTATGCATGGATTGTGAACACCAAGTCTATGCAAATTGTCTTACAGAAGTGCTTGCTCTCGGTGACAAGATGGTCCTCTTACAATGGTCTTACAATAATGAAACAGAATAAACAGAAATAAACAGCATGTCTAGAGATATAGTAATATGAGTGCAATGCTTTCATAAGCATAATGATGATTATTATTTTTTTGGAAAGCATGTTTTCCCTAGGGATCCACACTTACACCACTGCAGTTCTTCACAAGTCAACTCCCAAATTACAGATTACTCTGCTATTGGACCCGACATAATTTTAAAACCTGAATGACAGATAGACAGCATCCACAATGGGAGTGCACAATCACAAGGAGTGTCAGAAATAATCAATAATAAATTGATTCTGGGCTGCTTTCCAAAGAAATTTGCTCCAAAGTAAAGTGATAAATAACTAGGTTTAGAAACCTGATGCTTGTACAGAATATCTTAACTCAGGGGTGTCAAACTCGCAGCATCACGGTGACATCGCGTGACGTATTGCGACTTTTTCAAGGCTAATTGGTATCTTAAGTAAGTTAATAAATATATTGAAATCCTACTGCTAGTATTTTCATATCCTAACTCATGTTATTAACATTAGCTGATTTGACTCTAGTATTTTGAGGAATACAGATTAGTTGGGACCAGCCCTATCATTTAGCAATTCTCTCAGGCATTAGACAAAGGCATTACATTGGGGCACATGTGCCTCCCCTCCAAACCTTTACAGTGACTTGCCAGATATAATTCCTGCCATATCATATATATAAGATGAGCAGCTACCATATAACAAATGATTGACTGACTGAATAAGGTTATACTGAATTATACTATACTTACACTTATGTATTTATACTAATGTCTGTGTGTATGTCAGTGTGTTTGTATAATTCCTAGAACAGTCTAATGAACATTCTGTTTTCCTTTGAACTGCCTTTGTGCCTAAAGTAGAATTTATAGTTTCCTGGTTTCAAACCTGATGCTTTAACTATGACACCAAACTGGCTCTCAGCCAAGTCTTTAGCCATTTTCAAGTTAGTTGACGTTCACTCTTGTTCTGAACTGCTGCCAAAGTGTTGGCTTTGCAGTTGCTCACTCTGTGCTGGGTTGGGAAAAGAAAGGTGCTTTTTTCCCCCAGCTGCTGGCTGGCTATATTCTCAGTGTTTCAGAGCTACTGGACTCTGATTCTCCTGCTGCTGGTTTCTTGACATTCAGTCCTGCCCTTCATTCATCATCAGTTGCCTGCAGAGTTTGGCTGAAAATTCTTCCTCGCTGCTCTGCCAGATAATACAAATCTTCCTTTCTAAGCATGAACATTTCGATGCTCTCAGCATTTTCCTTTTATAATTGGAAACCAAATGTGGTCCAGTGCCTTTGAGACTGTCTTAAATGCCTAAGGAAAAAACACAAGGAAGAGCTCATAAATAAACAAACCAACAAACCAACACTGGCTACTGCTTAAATTACACAGTTTTTCAATGTGAAGGAAATAATACGACCAAAATGTGCTGTTGATAAAATATTTTTATTTAATGGAACTCCTCATCCTTCTTGTTTTTGGGGTGTATATCTGTTTTTCCTATTGATTCTTCATTGCTTAGTTTTGAAGTGTGGGGGGGGTGATTTTTCTCTTTGCCATAATATTAATTTGGCACTTCTACTAAGAGTTTGAAATAAAATATTTAATTTTGAAAGCGCCATCATTTTAAACGATCACATTTCAAACCAGAATATTTAAGTATTTTTCACTTCTTTTTTTATTTTTTCCACATTGGGATTAAATTATTATAACAATATTTGGTTATTAATTATTTTTCATAGTATTGGTTGTTACATATTTGAAGGATTGCCTTTCAGTAGGTACATTTGAAATACTAGTGATAGTGTTTCATAGTATGGAAGAACATGAGTTGAAATTTTGAAAAATGTCTGTTAACCTTGATACTTTTGCAATTCCTGCCAATTCTATTTTAACATATTGATTGAATCCAGAGATTGGCAACAAAAATGATGCAAGGTCTGAGGGACAAAACATATCAGGAGAGGTTGAAAAAACTGAATATGTACAGCCTGCAGGACAGAAAAGAAAGTGGAGGCATGATTGAACTTTTAAATATATTATAGTATGGGTGTGACTCAGAGGTGGTGTTCAGCGGGTTCTGACCAGTTCTGGAGAACTGGTAGCGGAAATTTTGAGTAGTTTGGAGAATTGGCAAATACCATCTCTGACTGGAGATTTTACAGTATCCTACCCCCTGCCATGCCCACCAAGCCACACACACAGAACCGGTAGTAAAAAAATTTGAATCCCACTACTGGTATGAATAAGGAAGGCAGTATTTTGAATATTAAGCAAAAATCAAGAACACGGGGACATAACTTCAAGCTGACAGGAGGGAAGTTGAAAAATAATGTTAGAAAGTTTTACTTCAGAGAAAGAGTACTGGAAGCTTGGAACCAACTTCCAGCTGAGGTAAATGGGTCATTCATCAGTAACTGAATTTAAACATGCTTGGGATAAACACATGTCCATCATCCAACTAAAATAAAATAATAAAAAATAATAATATATACATAAAAAGAAAAAAAAACCCTCAAAGGGCAGTTTTGAAGGACCACCAGGTCTTTTCCTGCTGTCATTTTTCTATGTTTCTATACATTCTCCTGCCTTGGGTAGGGTAGTCTAGAAGACCTTCAAGAACTCTTCCAATCCTATGATTCTATAAGGTACCAAACTTAAATATTTTATTCTTACCATTTCTACAAAATTGGGTTAGGAAAAGTGAAACCCCTCCCCCGCCACACTGTCTGATTCTCTATTATTTATTTGTTTGTTTGTTGGTTGGTTTCTTACCATAGGGTAACTCTGGGTGGCTTACAGTTACATATACCGTTAAAACATAAAAAGACATTAAATTCAAGGACACATGGGGAAGGCGGGGCAGAGTGGGGGGGGGGGGGGGTGGGATCCGCTATTACTCAATCAACCACCTCCATTGCGCTGGGCCTCCACTGGGCCCCCAAGTTGAGTGGCACAGCCACGTCTTTAGGCCCTTATGAAAAGATAGGGTTGGGGACAACTTCACATGGAGTGGGGGGGAACACAAGATCTTTTTGGCCCTTATTCCCATCCTTACACACACATACACACACACACTATCCTCCAATTCCATTTACATCACATGTGAATTGAGATGCTCTATCTGGAGCAAGTTTCGTGGAGTGTTTACATTCAGCTCTTTCCCAACTTGCAATGTCTTTGTATTAACTTTCTATGATATTTTGCCATTCCCTGTGTTAAGTCAGCTCTCTTAAAGTCTAAGACCCTAGTTTGGTGTTGTTTAATTACTTGTGACTGCATTATGTTGAATTTCAATATGACGTGTCACGTGATGGTCATATGGTCTTTTGCTTTTCTGCCTGTGCGGTTTTCTTTTTGTTCTTGTCTTTAGTATTTAGTTTTTTCATTGTTTCCCATATGTCCTGAATTGGGGGTTTTTTTCTAGGATTTCCAGCCATGAAATCATTCCTAGACTCTTAGTTTGTTGAAGTGTAAATACGTTATAAATATATATTTACACTGCTTCCACCTAGAAAGGAGAATGTTATTCTAGCCTAGGAGAACATTATGCATCAAGAATCAGACTAAGTTTTGTTGATGGAAATAATGAAAAGTGAGATCATAATGACTCATGATGTTTCTGTAAGTGTAAGGAAAATAATCACTGCAGAAATGCTGACAATCTGATACTCCCCATAAGTTTCTATCACTTATAAAGGATGCTAAGACCATCTGCAGAACTACTAAAATCTTATAAGATCTTGCAAAATAATTGTAACATTGCTACATGAGATGAAAATTGCAGAAAATCACTGAACTCTGTCAACTCCCTGATATTTTGGTTTTTTTGTTTGGGTGTAATTTCCCCAAAAGTGTAAGTTTTGGGGGATGGGAGTTATCCTAAAACCTTGGAGTGCAAGGTTTCCTACAAAGCAGGGCCTTATTTTGTGACATGATTTATGATTGGGGATCAGATACTTAAATACATACAGTTTCTTTAAAAAAAGGAAATATAGAACAGAAGCCTAAGGGTCTTTAGGTAGGAAAAAAAAGCAAAGAAATAGCATCCAAAGTTTATTTATTTATTCAGTTTGTATTGCCATCCATCTGAAACAAATGATTCTGAGCAGCAAACCATCATGAAATCATTTAAACAACTTAAAAACAGAATACAGGGGGAAAAAATACATAGAGCAACCAGAAGATAATTTAATCCATAATTGTTAACATCAATGGGGCCTTCACAAACTCAGGACCGAAGACACAGAACCAGGTCCTCAAGGTCTTCTGAAAGGCCAACAGGATCAGGATGACTCTAATCTCAGGAGGGAGGATGTTCCAGAGGGGAGGGGCTGTGTGCCCCACCCTACAGCTTCCAGACACTCTGTCAGCCTTTCCAAAGTACACCAGACGGTGCATAACAACTTATCCCCCTGCAAAAGCTGCTCCGTATGCCTGGTGTATTCAATAATCCAATCAGCCAACTGCCAGGTCCTGGAAAGACGATGGTCCAGCCAAGGTGAGTTCCAGGCACCACCTGAAATTCTATCCGAAGCCGCTACGCAGCCTAACAAGAGAGACAAATTGTGTGGCAAAAAGCAGCAGCAACTAAGCTCAGTAGAGCAAAACCCCACATTTGCAGAAACTCTACCAATCCTTAGTCCATAGACCACCTACCTGCTGCCACATACTAAAAGTGACTACCGTTGGAACCTGTTCCCCACGCATCTGGTCTCGGTCAGTGGTGGGATTAATTTTTTTTTACTACCAGTTCTGTAAAATCTCCATTCCCACCCCACTCCTGGGGGAAGTTTACTGCAAAATCCCCATTCCCTCCCCACCCCACTGACCTGCTTTCTAGCTCCGTTCTCCTGTGCAGGGCAACAAAAGAAGACCCAGCCAATCAGCTGGGACTCAATGGGAGGCAGAGAATAGATGGGGGCAGAGCCAGTCAGAGGTGGTATTTGCCAGTTCTCTGAACTATTCAAATTTTCCACTACTGGTTTTCCAGAACTGGTCAGAACCTACTGAATACCACCTCTGGTCTCAGTGCCAGTTGAATAGCAGAGGATGGTGCAATGATCAAAAAGCACAAATGGCAGGGTTTATTACAAAGTCAGAAGTGTACAACAGAACAGAACAGCCATTATTTGTAATAATTGAAAGTTGTAGATGGAACAAACTAAGGGCCTTTCCCTGTTACAGAGAGGAATTATTATTATTTAACCAGAGGTGGTATTCAGCAGGTTCTGACCAGGTCTGGAGAACCGGTAGCGGAAATTTTGAGTAGTTCAGAGAACCGGCCAATATCACCTCTGACCAGATGCAGCTGACCTGTTTTTCAAGAGGCACAGAACAAGCAGTCTGTGGTGTTTTTTCTACATTTTCTTATATCCGGTGGGAATTTAAAATTCTAAGTGCACACCCTGAGTCCTTCACAAGATGGATCCTATGGAGAGGAGCTTACCATTCTCTTAAATGTCCATCGTATTGGTCATGGCCAGTGAAAAACCAACAATCACCTTGAATGAATGGAAACTGATGATCCAGCTCTCTATTCTCCATATTGCTTTAGATTCCCCCAGCTTAACTTGTTCAATATTGGGTGGGTGGGTGGGTGGGAAGATCATAGCTCCTCTACTTCTAGGTTCATCTGCGTAGAAAATAAATGAGAAAAATAAAAAAGAGGAAAGTTGGCAAGTGTTAGGGAACCTTACACCGATTAACTCAGTGAGTGCAATTGAATGACACAGAGATGTTGAAGTTTAATCTACTGGATAAATATATACCCAATTTGAGATACAAAGAGTGGGATCTTTCCTTTCACTCTCAACGCTTTCCCTTGATGCTCTAAATGAAATTACCTTCATTAATGAAACCATATGTTTTCCAGTATCCCAGACCTCCTCAGGAACTTCAGGAAATGTCTGATGGACTTTAATAAGCTGGAGGAGATAGAAAGGAGTCCATTACACTGTTGCCAAGTTTCTCCAGGGATACCTTAGTCCACCATCAAGTGGAATCAAGTGGCATCTCCCTGCCCCTTTGTCCCAGGAGAGAGATTATATCAGGAACAGGGTGGGCACCCAAAGCTTACAATCCATACTATTTTAGCTTTGCTACCTATATTGATCCTAGGCTGATGGTTTCCACAGTAGCGAAGCTGGTTCGAGACATGAGGAGTAACATCTCCAGCCGTGTGACTCAAAGTTCTGTGGAATTGACCAAGAAAGAACACCTTTGCTTGTTTCTTTGAATCAAGAATCTCATTGCCAAAGCACATGTGTATGCCATTTATGGTAAATTCTTCTCTAGACTTCTGGAGCCATCTTCTCCCTCTTACATTCCCCACACATCCTAAATCCCAATTCCTTTGGAAGGAGGAAAATTTGGGATGGCATTTCTATCCAAGAATTCAAGGTCATTGTAAGCACTTCTTTCTTGTCTGCAATTGTGGCCTTGGAACTTTACAGTTACTGTAGGTCGGCATCTTCGTGAAGAGATCCCCTGCATGAGGAAAAATTGCATGAGGAAAAACTGTAACAAGCCAATATTCTCACAATACTTGATCCCAGTCCTCAAAAACACTCCCACACTTATTGTTCAGTTGGGACATTTAACAGGAGCTTTAACTCTTGATTCTCTGAATGTTTGCAGTGGCCAAGTGTACCTTCAGGCTCTTCCCAGGACTTCTATGCCTTCAAAATAAAAAGGGGGTGCTTTGAGGTGGGAGACTGCCGAAGAAGGCCTCTGAGCATGAGACCAAAGACCTGCTCCGTCAGCTTCTCCACCTGCAAGGAAACACAGAGATGATGTGCGCTTTTCTGGAATGCCTGGGAGTATTGCTGAAGATGGTATCTCTGGAACGTCCTCATTTTTTCTCTCTCCATGAATGCCATCCACAGGAAGCCATAGATGTCCAAGAGCTTAACTTCCACAGGTAGGTCCATGGCTGGTGGGACCTCGCTGTAGGGGCAAAAGAAGGAAAAGGTATCAGTGGCTTGCTGGGTCAAGCACTAGATTCTAGTGACTAGAAGGCATGGAAAGTTCCTCTTTTCTGTCCACTTTATAAGGAAAACCTTTCCTTTGATTTGGCTGCCCCAGCAGAAAGTGTCCAAAATGGCAATGAGCCTAACTGAAGCTTCTGGCTAGGGTTCAAGAGCAACCGTATGTGGAGTTTGTGCAGTAGTCAAGCTGCAAGTTGACCAGGGCAGGATTGATTGTCTGAAAGGCCTCCAGACCTAGTAGGGGGCACAACTGGTATAACACATGAAGCTGTGCCTTTAACTTTTTTCTTTTGTTTTCTATTGTCCCCCTTCTTACCCTCTAAGTATTACAAACAGATTTTTCTCTACTCGCGACAAAAGAAACAAGAGGTTGACCTGATCTCATATAATGTTAGCAGGGCAGTGCAGTCCCACAGTGAAGCAGCTAAACTGGTTGTCCTCCAATAGATTCTGGCAGGAAGCAAGAGTGGAGAGAAGCAAAGAATTCAGGGCCAACCAGGCTGCTCCAGCCCTTTCTCTTTGTCCCAGCCCCTTTTGAATTGCTATTACGCTACAGCTTGTCTCTTAGTCCAAAGGAAAATTACTCCCAGGTTAAGAACCCTTTGCATGGCCCTGTTTTTGGAAAGTTTCATTCCGTTTCTCTAGCGGACTAAACGGTCTGAAAATAAAGGGGTAGCTTCTCCTCTCCCTCTACTGCTACTTTCTCTCCATCCTCCTTGGCTTGCTCCCAGTTACCACTTTTCTCCCACTTACTTACCACGACTGCAAGGCTACATAGAGGTTTTATTCCAGGGAACTGGGACGCTCTGCTTCATCTGAAACAGAGGGAATGCAGGCCCTGAATGATGCTTGGTCTTGCTGCAAAGCAAAATAGTCTTGGAAACTTATACATATATATCTATAACTTTAGCTGTATAGCCCTACAGATCAAATATAATGTACAGTCACCATGGGCCTTGCTGCTTCAATGTTTAACAGTTAGAGAGAACTCTCCTCAGAACAAAAGGTCATAGAGTATAACCATAGATGCAAACTTATGAACACTGCCCTCTACTGGTTGCCTGTTGCTGTAGTTGTTGCATAAAATACAAGCAAACTACAAGTAGCCCTCGCTTTACGATCACAATTGAGCCCCAAATTTATGTTCTTAAGTGAGACATCCGTGATATCAATTTTGCCCCATTTCGCGCCCTTTCTTGCCACGTTTGTTAAGTGAATCACTTCGGCTGTTAATTTAGTAACAGGGTTGTTGAGTGAAGTTGGTTTTCCCATTGACATTGATTGATTGAATTTATATTGCTGCCTATTCGGCCATGGTGACTCAAGATGGCTTACAGAATGTAAAACCATATTCAAAATAAAAAAAACAATAAAAACTAACAAAAAGAATCAAATAAATTAATAAAGTACAGTAGAACAAAATATGAAGAAAAAAAAATCACCCCGAACTCCCTCCCTGCCCCAACAACAGCAGATCACAGGTGCCATTTGATGGGCTCCGTCCCGCTCTGGGTTCCCCAGGCCCGCTGGCAGAACCAGGTCTTCAGTGCCTTCCGGAAGAGTATTAGAGAGGGGGCCATTCTAATCTCTGGGGGAATGATGTTCCAGAGAGAGGGAGCCACCACGGAGAAGGCCCTTCTTCTGGGTCCCACCAGGTGTATCTCCCTCAGGGATGGGACCAGCAGCATTCCCTGTCTCCCTGCTCTAATGGGTCAAGTAGATGTGACCGGCAAGAGACGTTCCCTCAGATAACCTGGTCCCAAGCCATGAAGGGCTTTAAAGGTGACAACCAGCACCTTGAATTGCACCCGGAAGCAAATCGGCAACCAATGCAGCTCCCGCAGGAGAGACATTGCTCGTCAGAAGGTCACAAAAGGTGACCACATGACTCCAGGACACTGCAACCGTCATAAATATAAGTTGGTTGTCAAGCCTCTGAATTTTGATCACGTGACCATGGGGATGCTGCAATGGTCATAAGTGTGAAAAACGGTCATAAGTCACTTTTTACGGTGCTGTGGTAACTTTAACGGTCACTAAATGAACTAGTGGAAGTCAAGGACTGCTTGTATTCCAATCAAGAGTTAGATTGTAAGGCTGCGTAGAGTGTTTTGCCCTGAGTTGTCTCTAGTGATCTCTTTTTCAGAGAGAAGTTTGAAAACTTTCTGAGACTCTCTCTGTCCTGAGGAATCTTTTGCACCATATATTGAGTTTGGGCAAAAGGGACTGTGATTCAGACATGAGGTCCAAACCCAGCTATAGCAAACTCTATGCTCATGGAAGGTCTATTTTTGAAGCTGCCTCTGTATTCCACTCATGGACTTCTTGCCAAAGCTTTTGGCCAGTGGTGGGATTCGGGTTTTTTACTACTGGTTCTGTGGGCGTGGCTTGATGGGTGTGGCATGGCTTGGCAGGCGTGGCAGGGGAAGGATACTGCAAAATCCCATTCCCTCCCCACCCCACTAACCTGCTTTCCAGCTCCGTTCTCCTGTGCAGGGCAACCAAAGAAGACCCAGCCAATCAGCTAGGACTCAGGAGGCAGAGAATATATGGGGGCGGGGCCAGTCAGAGGTGGTATTTGCTGGTTCTCCAAACTACTCAAAATTTCCACTACCGGTTCTCCAGAACTGGTCAGAACCTGCTGAATACCACCTCTGTTTTTGGCTGGTCCACTGGTCAGATCTGACATAGGCAGCCTTACATTGGGTCTTACATACTCGCTGGGGCTTTGTTTTTTATGAAAAATCTGGAAAAGGAGAGACAGGGTTATGAGCACATCAAATGTTTAGGTCTCCTCTGGCTGAAGAAAACCCACCAAAATCAGACCTGTCTTTGCAGCAGACTCTATATAAGACTCTCTGGCTTAGTTATGTTTTTCAAAACCTTAGGCAAATTGCAATCTAAATATGCCAAGGCAAATGTAAGATTTCTGGCAAAGAATTGAGAGGTTTCCCAAAAGGCTCCCATGGAAGGCCAAAAACTTCCAGGGAGGGCAGGGTGGTCAGAAGAGGAAGGGCTTCAGAAAAGAGTTGGCCTATGCTCTATCTTTGGACCAATGAGAGTAGTCCAATTCCCATTTTGTGTTGCCATGCTGTTTTTTTTTTATTCCCAACATCTCTATGTCTAGGGTCAACTTCCTCTATCATTTCTACTAGGTATATCCCAAACTATTGTTAGATGATATAAATATACATATAATATGCATTATATATAGGCATATATAGCTAATAAATATGTATACATATATAATATATATAACATGCATATATAATAGATGTATATGATATAATAAAATATATATCATATATTATAATTATATAATATTGTATTATATGCCGAAACCGCCAAGGCCACACATGGAATACTACACTCAGTTCTGGTCACCACCAGTGGTGGGATTCAAAAAAAATTTTTATTACCAGTTCTGTGGACGTGGCTTGGTGGGCATGGCATGGCTTGGTGGGCGTAGTGTGGCTTGGTGGGCATGGCTTGGTGGGAATGGCATGGGAAGGATACTGTAAAATCTCCATTCCCTCCTCACTCTTGAGGGAAGTTACTGTAAAATCTCTATTCCGTCCCCACCCCACTAACCTGCTTTCCAGCTCCGTTCTCCTGTGCAGGGCAACAAAAGAAGACCCAGCCACTCAGCTGGGACTCGAGAGGCAGAGAATAGATGGGGCGGGGCCAGTCAGAGGTGGTATTTGCCGGTTCTCTGAACTACTCAAAATTCCCGCTACCGATTCTCCAGAACTGGTCAGAACCTGCTGAATACCACTTCTGGTCACCACAATACAAAAACCATGTTGAGATCCTAGAATATGTGCAGAGAAGAGCAACAAAGATGATAAAGGTTCTGGAGGCTAAATTGTAGAATGAATTGTTGATGGAACTAGGTATGTCTGGCCTATTGAAGAGAAGGATTAGCAGGAACATGATAACTGTCTTGTAGTGTATGTAGGTAAAAATAAATGTGGTCACATCAATAATAGTATATGTAGGTGAGTGGGTAGGTAAGTAGTTTGGTAGGTAGATAGACATTTACTTATTTTTCATATTTACTTGCAGCCCATCTTGTGGTTCAGGTGACTCTAAACGGAGGGGATTGAGCAAAGCACCAGAGGGAAGGACAAAATGTAATGGGTGGAAGCTTGTTAAAGAGTGATCCAACCTAGAAGTAAGGAAAATTTTCTGGACAATGAGAACAATTAATCAATGGAACAGTTTACTTCCTGTAGTTGTGGGTGCTCCAATGCTGGAAGTTTTCAAAAATAGACTGGACAACCCCTGTAGTCCATTCTAGCATATGATTATATGATGCTGAGTTTCAGGACAGAGAGGGGTGTGTGTGAGAAATTCAGACATCATTTCTCATAGAGCAGATCAAGGCTGAAAAAAAA